ATTCTAGCTCACTGCGATGCACGAGGCATGAGAGCCAGCGAGCGAACTTTGTCACTTTGGTCACTAGATGGAGCTGTGTACAACAACCATGTTTTGATGTTTTGTCAGTCACTATTAGAAGCTTGCGAGAACACAGAGGCGTCCCGGCGCGGTTCTTTTCAGAAGTATTTCGCCTAGACATTGCGTGTAGCAGCCAACCATAGTTTCTAATCAATGTCAGCTTGCCTGAGCGCAAGGCCACAGTTGGTGCTAACTTTTTTACACAAGACCCAGAAATTGCGAACACGCTGGTGAAAACAAATGTGATCCTTTCAACCCCAGCACATCTACTCGATCCATGCCAGCGAGGAAAGCGCTATCTGATAATAAGAGGAGCGACAAATAATGCGAATTTGATCACGTAAAGGCGCGATTACACTTGTGGATTCGCGTGCAGATTCGCGAAGGCGGCGAGCGGATTTTGCGGCCGGGTGGCGAAACCGACTCGTCGCTGGTGGAAAATCTGAATCGGTCCGGACCCCAAATCCAAATTTTTCGCCTGTCACGAGTCGATTTCGCCACCCGGCTTCAAAAGTTGCTGGCCGCCGGCGCCGATCCCCCAGAGAATCCCCCAGTGTAAAGTTACCATATAGCTAATTTCCAAGGCCTCCGTCTTCTTATGTCGTGAAGGTTACGTACACTTACGTCGAAGTGAACCAGCCTTTGGTGGCACTGATGAATTTCGTCCCGCAGTGAATTTTGGATCCCCAAAGGCACAAACGCTACGTAGAGGCAATTTCCAGCGCAGACAAACGAAAAACAGTGCGAAGAGCCAGTCGTCCGCTTCTTGCTCAGGAGTGGCGGTGACGTCAGAACAACGCCGAGCTCTTATTGGCTGATTGAATAAAATAGTGGGGATACCTCAATGCTCGATGCCTTAAGGTCTACCCATTGTCGTTTTTTTTTTCTTTTTTCGATCGACCAATGAGAGTTCGTCGTCGTTCCGACGTCACCGCCACTTTTACGCAAGAAGCAGACGACTTGCTCCCCGTATAGCGTAGGACATTATCAGGGAGGTTTCGTAGATCGTTCTCGCCGTCCAGCAAGGCCCTCCGCAACCCTCTATGATACCCGGACCTCTACAGCCAAGGCCATCGGCGCACAGGCCTCGTAGCGTCTTCTTCGTTGCGGTGGGCTTAGCGGATGGGAAAACGCGGTCTACGGAAACTCCCCATTGTATACGAGCTCCGAACAACTATCGCGGGTCGAATGGCGTGAGAACACATGCAGCAGAGCAACGTTGGATATGAATAGGTTTTCAAATGTCAAGGAGATCGAGATCGAAGAAACGCGGGCGCGGGAAGGCACAGACGTGGTCGAGACGCTGCTGGTCAAGTTCTGAGCGGGCAGACGCAACCCGGACGCTGTCATTTGTCTAGCTTTTAAGGCGGATCGGCGCGTACCTTTTATGCGTCGCCCGCTCCGTATGCGTCGAGAAACGGAGGGACAGTGGGAGACGACAGCAGGCGGGGATGTCAGGACGTCGAGCTCTGGTTGGAGGGATTAGTGGGTAGACCGGAAGCTAGCTGCCTTTGTCTCCACTGCACACAGTGGCGTCGGAAGTATTTCTGAGGTGGGGGGGGGCAACGGAATCGGGGTGGGGGGGGGGGGGGGGATGAAGCATCTAGAACAATATAGATATATAAAATCAAAACGCTCACAAACGTTTATTTAGAACAAATATATGTCCTTCCCCTTTTAGAATGTGGTGATCTTGTTTTTCTCCCATGTTGACGTCTTCAAACAGTGTGAAAAAAGAAAGAGCTCACTGGTGCCCGAAAACGGTTCGTCGTTCAGCCGTCCTCGACACCAACTCTCTGATGATAGAGTTCAGATCAAGTTTTGCTGCTCGCTCACTATTTACGTGCAGCAGCATCACCTGAGTCAGTCGCTTTTGTGACATGGTAGCTCTGAGGTAATTCTTGATACGCCGAAGTGCGCTGAAACTTCGTTCAGCTGATGTCGCTGACGCTGGCACTGTCATTATAAGTGCCGCAAGTCACATCACCTCAGTCATCATCCTCTTGACCTCTGGGACTTGTCTGCCCAGAGCACGGCACAACTCGGGTACGGAGCCGATCTGACCGCTTGAGAGCGAGTGAACCATGTTCAGCTGCCTTAATAGGCTTTCCAGGTGAAAATCAGTAGCGTGGGATCCTAACTTCCTTTCAAGTTCTTCTGCAGCTTGTGGCTTCTCTTGAATAGCGCACAAATTTATGTGCTCTAGTTGTGCGAGACTTTGCATGCCTGGTTGCTTGAATCGTCTCGCAAGCTCGGCGCGAACACAATCTAACGCTTCGCAGAACTGCTTCTGAAGGCCTGTCTCCGCGTCTAGAAACGCTGGTTGACAGGGCTCGCTGCTGTGTTCGAACCTTCTTGGAGGACCGCATCGCGTGGTCTTGCAAAGGCGCGTATCGACTGCTTTATTTGGCTTCAGAGATGGAGAAGCTCCTGCTTATTTCTGGTTTTAAAATAACCGCAAATAATTGAGCCCTCGAATAACTAATCCCATGATGATGAATATCATCATGCCACTCGTAATGTGAGAAATTCATGCCCGCGAAATATCTTAAAAATCCCACCCTGAGAAATTTGCGAAATATCGAGCTCGCGAGCCGCCATTACTAAAAATCCCTGGGGGGGGGGGGGGGGGGGGGGGGCGGTCGCCCCCACTGCCCCCCCTGTTCCGACGCCACTGAGTCTGCACACGTCGAATGCTCTAGAACGCGGAACTCCTGCGCTCAGCGTTTGTCTTTTGTATTAGAATGCGTTCAGCAAGTGCAGTTGGGAACAAAGGCAACCTTTGTCTCCACTGCGTCATTCCATGCCGAAAGAGGCGCGGTAATTTCTTGCATGCCTGGGATATGCACGAGAAGCATAAGTTAAATAAAGGAGGCTCTGAACTCTGAGAAAGAATAGTTTTTCGTCAACAAAAACTGTTTTCTTTTTGCTAATGTCATGCTCTAAATATCTGGAATTGACATAAAACCGGTGTAGTTAAAAAAAAAAAAAAAAAACATTGTAAAAAACGATTGCATACCACAGAAATATATGTGGGCGCCTAATTACCTAATAAAATGCCCCATCTTAGAGTAAAATACAAATATTGAAAGATGCCAATTTGCGTCCAAATATGAGCTCCAGGAAGAACACACACTTCTTTATTTGATTTGTTTTAGTCAACCTTGAGTTGAGTGTTCGCTACAATGCGTTTCCTTTTTGTTCTCTTAAGACTAATAATTGAATTGCTGGTATTAAATTTTCAAAGCAACGTTTTGTTGCGTTTTAATTAAACAACAAAATCTCCAGTTTATGCAGAAATGGGCATATGGAGAGTCAAAAAAAAAAAAAAGAGCAATGTGGGCTTTTGTGCCCGCAACTTTCGAAATAGCCAGAACTTCAATCAACCTCATCTCTTCAATATATCAAAAAATTAGAAAAGTACCTACTGCTGTTGCTGAAAAACATATTTTAATGATAAGCCTCTCCAACCATGCCTCCAAACGCCCGTCTCGTAGGTGACGCACGCCGGCGTTCGCCAGCGAGGCATCAACGGTGTGATACGCCGCGGCAAGATCTTCACGGCTCTCTTGAAAACACGTTTTATTCAGTTGAATAAGACGTTATCCTGACTTCCATGCATGCGTATCGTGTTTACGTTGTGTACGGATACCGGCGTCTTAATTTCACTCTACTTCTACCCCGGTAACCGCCGACAACGCGCAGGCCTTCATCGTCGGCTTCCCGAGTGCGGTAATGCATACTGCGCGTCGGGCATCGTCTGTCCTATGTCCAGATATAAAAACAGTTCAGACCAGATTGCTCTTAACCAATGCAAAGTCGATAACAGAGATGTCTTTTCTACATCCTTCGTCATATCTGTGACTGACGAAGCATCTGATATGATGTGTCAAAGCCAATGGGACATTAGGTGCCATTTCGGTCAGCCAATGGGCAAATGGAAATTTGGGGGCGGTTTTTCGCTGCTACAGACACAGCCGGCTTCGTTCCATGGGACCAGTTAATGCTTTCGCATTAAAAAAGGTAGCTGCTTGGGTTTTCAATCATTTCATCGCGAATTTAACGAAAGCTTCAGTCGCCACAGACATTTTTCTCTGACCCCCATTAATCATCAACGACATAAGCCCGTTCTTCACGAAGCTCCATGCGGTGTTCTTCCTACACATTACACGTCTGAGCCGAATGACGGTCTTGCTGATGCATGATGGAATGACTGAAACCGCGACAGGCAATCCTCTTTGGGAAGGCCTTCCAAAAGCCTGTTCCGCTTTATAGCTGCCTTCATTTGTGCAGTTAATGTATGGATAATCAAATTATGAGTGTATTAAAAATTGCCACTCACTCTTTTTTCCTTACGTATTAATCGGAACTTGGCAAAAAAATAAGCTTGGCACTATAGAACTCTCATGGACAAGTCATTAAGCACAGTGAAATAAGAATACACACACTGAGCCCTCCCTATCCAATACTGACATTGACGCAAACGGGACTTCCAGGAAAAAGCTTATTTTAGAGCCATACCAAACTGACAAACGCCGTTCCTTTCATGTTCCCGACAAGATAGTGCAATACCTTTTGCGCAGAAAGAGGCACCCAGCGTTCAACAAAATGCGTAGCAGCCATATAGAGAATTTCGGGCTTCAAAACCAGAAACTATAAAAATACGTGTTTTTTTTTTTCGGCAATGACGTAAAAGGTGAGCAAACCGCAAAGTCTATTTGCCGCTATGATTGTCCTTAAATGAAATTGCATTTTGACCTTTTAGGTTAATAAATCATAAGAAACGTGTACAATACGCAAGCTGGTATAAACTAAGATGACATTTGGAAGAAAGTGCGTCGATTGCGACATCAGCCCATGTGTAATCTCACGGCTTATGAACGTATTTATAGCTATAAGGTTAACGAAGTTGGTTGTAGAGTACAAGAGTCGCTCCAATGATGCCTCCTATTGTGCCGCTGGTTCTACTGACATCCACGTGGTTGGCAGGTAGGTAACAATTCCGACATTCAGCATGCTCACCTTGGTACTGGTAAGCGAATGTGCAATAATTGCATCCAGTGCAAGCTAGTGTTACCAGCATACTGTTACGGCCTAGAGCTTAGCTGGATGGTTTTACATGCTTCCTTGAATACCAGCAGAACGCATACCTCGGCAAACCTCACTCATGAGGGCCCTCACTCACCCTCACTCACCCTCATCTTCACAGGTGAGGTGAGGGTGAGTGAGTTTCTGAACCAGGAAAATTCATGAGTGTGAGGGTGAGTGAGGGCCGTGAGGGGCTGTGAGGGCGGTGAGGGCCGTGAGGGCGGTGAGGGCCGTGAGGGCGGTGAGGGCCGTGAGGGCCGTGAGGGTGGTGAGGGCCGTGAGGGCCGTGAGGGCCATGAGGGCGGTGAGGGCGGTAAGGGGTATGAGGGCCATGAGTGCGTGAGGGGCGTGAGGGCAGTGAGTGGCGTGAGGGCCATGAGTGCGTGAGTGGTGTGAGGGCGGTGAGTGCGTGAGGGGTGTGAGGGCCATGAGTGCGTGAGGGCAGTGAGTGGCATGAGAGGCGTGAGGGCCGTGAGGGCCGTGAGGGCGGTGAGTACATGAGGTGGTGTGAGGGCCATGAGTTCGTGAGGGCGGTGAGTGCGTGAGGCCCCCTTCAGATCTAGCATCTTTCTCAGCAATTTTGGTGGTAATGGCGGGTTGTTCTCTATAGCTTTCCCTAGAACGACACGAATTGCTGAGATCGGGTCCGGCTCGAAATAAGCAAGCAACTCGGAGCAATTCGAATGCGTTTGAAGCGGCTGCATCCAACCAGGGACGCAAAATTTTCACGTGATACCTCGTGCCGGTGATGATGACACCGAAAGACTTGGTTCTGGCTTGAAATCGATCGTTTTTTTTTAAAATAAACTGTTTCAGAAAGGTGCACTAGTATTTTTAACGAGATTTAAATGCATAAAAACACGTTTATAACGCGTAATTGTGTCTGAATAGTGCAAGAAAAATAAAATTTTATGATGACGATGGCAAATTGCAGCAATTTGTTGCTGCGTGTGACCGCGGGGGGCCCGTGTTGCTGGTCTTGGGACGTAAAGTTTCTGGGCGAAATTGCCCCATCTGAAGCTGGCCTGAGTGGCGTGAGGGCCATCAGTGCGTGAGGGGCGTGAGGGGTGTGAGGGCCGCAAGGGTGATGAGGCGCGTGAGGGCGGTGAGTGGCGTGAGGGCGGTGAGTGGCGTGAGGGCGGTGAGTGGCGTGAGGGCGGTGAGTGGCGTGAGGGCGATGAGGGCGGTGCGGGCGGTGAGTGGCGTGAGGGCTATGAGTGCGTGAGGGCCGTGAGGGCGGTGAAGGCCGTGAGGGCGGCGAGGGCCGTGAGGGCGGTGAGGGCCGTGAGGGCGGTGAGTGACGTGAGGGCCATGAGTGAGTGAGTGGCGTGAGGGCCGTGAGGGCGGTGAGGGCCGTGAGGGGCGTGAGGGCCGTGAGGACCGTGAGGGCGGTGTGCGTGAAAGCCGTGAGGTTCAGTGAGGGTGAGTGAAGGGCTGAAGGTGAGTGTGACTGTGAGGGTGAGGGTGAGTGAGGGGCTGAAAGTGAGTGTAGCTGTGAGGGTGAGGGTGAGTGAGGGGCTTAGGTGAGTGTGGCTGTGAGGGTGAGGGTGAGTGAGGGCGACCTAAAATGCCGACCTCTGGCAGAACGTAGACAAAAAAAAAACGAAGGAGAGGAGAAAACAGCAGTACGTGTCTTGGCTTTCATCATTCCTTCGTTTTTCCTGTAAGTTCAGCTGGTATTAAAGGCAGCATACTGTTACACGGAAATTCTTGGGTTTCAGGGGAATGGGCCAATCTGCGCGGTGTAAAGGAACGGGGCTGTGTATCAACCATACTTTCCTTTAGACTTTATCGAAATGTGATAGCATTGCTGGTGTTCTGAAGGCTTTATTTTGCTTATTAAATTGTGCCGGACCGTACATGGCGGGTAGCTAAGCATTAAATGTCAGCCAATTTTCATTCACTGAAAATGCTTGCCAATGAAGTTGGTAGCAAACCAAAGTCCTCGCATAGTGGCGCCCTGCTGCTTGTAGTTTGGGCCTTTTGTCGACTTCTCGTTTTTTCACACGACCTTCTGTTGTTGTAGAGCGAGCTCGCCTTGCTTCCTTCTCCCTAGCCAAACGTCGCTCTCTCTCTCTCTCTCTTTCTCTCTTCATATTTCTCTCTTTCTCTTTCTTTCTCTCTCACGGGTGTCCCTTTGGAAAGCCAAGCACGGCCGTACTCAGCACGACGCCGCAACTGTTCAGCTGTCTCCTCTTGAGGCCGCTCGTTCCTTTTGCGAGGCATTGTGAAGAAGATTGCAGCACTTTGATAGAGCGCCTCGTTCCACGACACTCGAACTCGCGCAACGAAGAGAGGAGAACGACGCAACTACCGCACTCTCCCGCCACCCGCGCATGCGCGTTATAAGGAAGTGATGTCGGCGCGTGCCTTCCGATGTCACGACCAGAAGTCTCACTTTAAAATGCTGTGGCATTTTAAAGCAAGAGACAGGTGGAGGTTCATGGGCACAAAGGGTTCGAAATAATGAGACTGCAAAATAAACCCTATTTTCCTGATGTCTGGGATGTAGTCCTGAGCGTTTCGGAACAAAAAGGTTACTTTTTGAGTACATTAGGCGTGACATAAAAGTAATGTAAGGATCTGACGAAGCGTAGACGCTGGTGCTAAAAGAAGCAATACTAAAAAAAAAAGCTTCGGCCGTGAAGAAAACTGCGCACTTTAATCGTTGTCGGCGGATTCGAAAGCGGCGTGGAACCTGGATAGCAACCCTAGCGCAAACCTGACTGCCCGCAGACACCTTAATCAATGATAGTTTAAGATATTCGGGGCTTGAGGAGTCCTCGGCATCTAGTTATGTCCATGCAGCCAATGATATTGCGCCATTAGCTAGTGAAAGGGAAAATAACGAATCAAGAAGGCAGAAGTATTAATGAGGCCGTGCAACGATATTGGGTAGGAATGTTTCTCACCAAACTCAAGTTTACTGTCACTACCCTACCGAAAAATCCGGTATAAATTTTCGTTATCCGGATTATGGAACCGGAAATCTATCTGGATTCTATCTGGAGTTCAGGTTTTCAAAAATTATTCCTTTGTCTGCAATCTGGATTTCGGGTTTCCAGAAACAAATTTCCGGTTCCATAATCCGGATAGGGAAAGGTTATACCGGATTTTTCGGTAGGGTAGGGGAACCCAACCATACTCGCACGCAACGCCACTTTCCAAAAATCTTATTTTCGCCGCGTAATTTCATGTATAAAAGCGGACGATATCCTTCAGTTTCTCTTTCGCAAAACTTGGTGATGAAGGTGCGAGGATCGCATTGTTGTCTCCAGGATTCGGTCATCGAGCTTTGCGATCCCCGTGGTGACGTTATTTAAATGCGACTCATAGAGTGTGCACAAGCACTCCGTGAGCATTCAATTTCGGGCTCGTGACAACCGATACCTCGATGTGCATTTGTCTAGTGGCTTGCGCCCAATCACCGCGATGACAGGGATAGCGAAACACTAACAGTAGGGAGTTTTATAATAGGGGGCCCCAACGTTAGGGACCTCCTACTAGGGGGCACGAGCGCAGTGTTACTCGCGCTGCCGGCTTATGGAATATGGTCTACAATACGTAACGTAACATATGCTTGCGTTTCACGCTTGCAACGCCAATACGGCTAACAAGCAAAATGAATACAGCGAAAAATATAATAAAGCGTAACAAACTCGCGCTTAAGAAACACTCTGGGTTGCTCGTGTCACGAATACTGGGTAAGGTAAAACCCAATCTGCTTTCTTTTTTTTTTTTTTCCTTTTTGCAAATTTTGCAAATTATTTAATGTTTGGATGTTGAAAGTCAAGAATACGAGTCAAATATATATTGAACGTTCCCCGTTTTCCTTCACGAGGCGCTGTTATCGTCATGTCAACAGTTACCGCGTCTAATCATGCTTAAGAACGGTCAGAATCGGAAGACAACTTCGAAAACAGGGCGGGATTATCGCTCATACGTTATGATTTAAATGAGGTAAGTCCAAAGCGAAAGCCTAATTCACCATTCATTGCCGATTAATGTGTTAATACTGCAGCGCCCATTACAAATTTGTTCTGAAGCGAGCGATGCAGGATGCCGCCAGGTTTGTTTGCCATACAAGGACCCTGCAACGACTTTTCGCTTGCTTTTTAGTTAGCACCGAACCTGAGCTCACCGAACGCAGTAACTTAGTGAAAATCTTCTTTTCTCGAAATTCGCTTTATTTTAAAAGTTATATGTGCATAAAAATTAGAAAGAACAGCAAAAATAACCTCCTTCATGACGTCCCTGGTCCTGGCTTGGGTAGCCAATGGTAAAAGCGAAGCGACTGGCAAATCGGCTGTACCTTACGCTGATAGCCGCTTCCCCTGCTGCCGCGTCCCCGTCAACGGCTCGTTGCTTGCTTCAGCCCTCCACTGCGCTTGCCGGCATGAATTTACCGGGTCTGTCGGAGTTGCAGCTCCGAATCCCCGATGGAAATGCGGAGTATTACCATCATAACATCATCATCATTACATCATCATCATCGTATGCAGTAGTACCGTACGAGGACATGTGGTGATCATACCACGCCACGCAAACACGCGGCTGCCCGACGGACCTGACCTAGCCAGCCTAACCGGATCTTTCCCCCTTTTTCCCGCTCCAGAGAATTCTCCGTACGTCTCAAAGAAGTCGTAAAGCAGGAGCTGACCAGGACCGACAACGTTACAATTTCGTCACGTCCCGCGCACGTTCGACACTACGGGGCGCCCCCGTATTAGGAGAAGGCTCGCGTCGTCCGGTTAAAATATGCCGCTCTGATATTTAGTTAATCTCTCTTTGCCCGGTGGGTTGCCCGAACCACAAGAAATGTAGAAACCGCGAAAAAAGGTAGACATTTAATAGAATTGCAGGGCCCCATTAAGGGTCTCGAGAATTCTGCGTTAGGGGCG